GTTGTATAAAATCTGTATGGCAGAGGGAGAGGAGAGCCCATAGAAGATTCATTCGCTCTTCATTAAAGAAGAAGTGACCCCTTCATTTTAAAGGCAGCTGCCTGGTACCTGACCCATAGCAGCTGCATCACGGTAATTATGTGTCTTTGTTCTTCTGCAGGTCACAACCACCCACATACACACACAGGACACACACTCCTGAGCCCACAGTGAGGCTGCACAGAGTTTCCAGAGAGCAAACTGTGTTTCTAGTAACAAACCACAATCTACCTTTAGGATCTGTGCCCCAGCTTTGCCCTGAGAGAGGACGCTCCAAGGAAAGGGCTCCTGCTCAGAGCCAGCAGCCCAGCCTCCAGGCAGCTTTAGGCAAGCCCCGACAGGAGGCCAGGAGGGTTGGCAGGCAGGAAGAGACACCACTCGGAACTTCTCCCTGCTGTAATTTACTAAATCCATCTGGGGCTCCTTTGAGCTGTTTTCTGAAAATGCCACATTTCAAGGGTCTCCCTGTTAGAAAAGGTCAGAGAGTTCATGCGGGCCTTTCATGTTGAAGGAACTTGAAAGAAAAGGAAAGGAAATGTATATTTTCAGCTTTAACTATGATTAAATGGGTTTAGGCCATGAGAACATTCAGATGATTTACATGACGTTACATGAAAAGCCAATTAACCTAACAACTTCCGAAAAATATCTAGCTCAAGAGTACTCATTTATTAGAGCTCTTGGAATGTGCCCAGTGTTGTGCTAAGCTCCTTACTAGGATACAGTGATTCATCTCAACTGCACTCCAACAGAGCGAGGCAGGCCCGGGTATGAGACCCATTTCACCTATGAGGAAACTGAGGCTCAGAGAGGGTAAGTAATTTGTCTGGGGTCTCATAGCTAGTAAACGGCAGGGCAGGGATGGAAGCCTGCCCCTCAAGTCTGAGGGTCCTGACTTGGTCCTGTATCCAGCATCTGAGAACAATTCAAGTTCATTTGCATGAAAATGAAGTCTTAATAAATATCCAGTTCTGACCTGGTCTAGAAAACTACAAAAGACCCTGGTGTTTCCCTGCTGCTAGTCCTGGTCCTGAAACTCCATGGTAACTTCCAGTGGGACAGCCATAGCAGATCCCACTAGTCACCTTGCAGAAGAACTCCAGCGCTGATGGTCTCTGGTCTCCTTATGGGATCTGAGTTGTCTGGAATGAAAGGCCTGGGATGGGCCCCAGAGAGAGAGGGTGCAGACTGAGATCTGTCTGGCTCAAGGGAGAGGTTTTAGGCCCTTTCTCCAGAAAAGGGGTTTGGCCACCCTACACAGACCATAGAGTAAGTCCCTAAACTTACTGGTGGCCCCTGAAAGTAAGGACTCCAGATGAATGATAGCTTATTTATTCATCAGGATTTGTCTGCCAACACCACTAAGCACAGAAGGACTGCCTCTGGAATTTTTTTTTTTTTTTTTGTAGAGGCAGTGTCTTACTTTATCACCCTCGGTAGAATGCTGTGGCATAACACAACTCACAGCAACCTTCAACTCCTGGGCTTAGGCGATTTTCTTGCCTCAGCCTCCCGAGTAGCCGGGACCACGGGTGCCCACCACAACACCCGGCTATTTTTGTTGTTGCTGTTGTTGTTGTTGCAGTTTGGCACGGGGCTGGGTTTGAACCCGCCACCCTCGGTATATGGGGCCGGTGCCCTACCCACTGAGTCACAGGTGCCGCCCTGCCCCTGGAATTTTAAGGGTCATTATGGAACACTAGAGCATGGTACTTAGGATGTGCACTCAGGAGTCAGGTTTCTTGGGTTTTGAATTCTGACACCTTCATTTTCAAGCTGTAAGAACTTAAGTGACTCAACATCACTGAGCTTCAGGTTCCTCATTAGTAAAATGGGGGTAATGGTCTCTGTGTCACAGGGCTGGTGTGAAGATTAAAGGAGATAATGTGTGTGAAGCTCTTGACAGGGTGCCTAGCACACAGCAATCACTCAGTATATGAGGTCATGGTGCAGACGATGATGGAATCAGTACTGACAGGGCAAGGGGTCTGTACAGGGCTGCATCACCTTTTGGGGACTAAGTCCAAGCTCCTGTCCCTCTCCAGCTTTCCAAGCCCTCCTGATCCTTACAGGCCCAGATGAAATCTGCCTCCTACAGAAAGCCACCCTGACTACTCTAGTCCACACTGATCTCACCATAACTGAGCTCTGCCTGCTATCTGTATAGACCAGTGGTTTTCAACTTTCCTAATGCTGCAGCCCTTTAATACAGTTCCTGTGTTTCGCCACCCACAGGTTGAGAATAGTTGGTATAGACTAATCTAACATCTAACTCAGCTCTAATAACTTCTCACCTTCTCAAAGCTACCAATGGCTCCTGGAGGGCAGGACACCTCTACCCTTCTTCTCTCCACAGCCTGAGCCCAGAGCTAGGTATAAGGGAGATGATCCCTCAACAAGTCTTCAGATGGATTTCAGTGTGGCTGTGAATGCCTCAGCCTTCTTCTCCCTTCCTTACCTGTCCTCACAACTCTGTCCTCCCCACTCACCCACACACTCCTCTGGTTTTACCCAGGAGGGTGATGAGTTGAAGGCATTGGCCCCCTAGGGTAGGGGTTCCTAGACTTTGGGATTTCACAGTTTTATATAATGTTCAAGGAAACTTGAGGTTTGGAAAGTGAAGAGATGAGAAAAAAATGTCTGTATTTTTCTTTTGCTAAATAAGGACATTAAAAAAATCTATTCTCGGGTGGCGCCTGTGGCTCTGGGTAGGGTGCTGGCCCCATATACCGAGGGTGGTGGGTTCAAACTCGGCAGTGGCCAAACTGCAACAAAAAAATAACGTTGCATTGTGGCGAGCCCCTGTAGTCCCAGCTACTTGGGAGGCTGAGGCAAGAGAATCACCGAAGTCCAGGAATTGGAGGTTGCTGTGAGCTGTGATGACATGGCACTCTACTGAGGGCGATAAAGTGAGACTCTGTCTCAAAAATAAATAAGTAAATAAATATTCTTATCATCATTTCAGTAAGAAATTTAAAAAGGCAGTTTTCACACCACTAAAACAAATAAGGTCATAATCTTTGATTAAAGGCTAATACCATGCTGAAAAAATTTAACCTTATTGAGAAAACATAATAATAAAAAATCCCACTTCACTGTTGCTCTGACTTCTCACCTTTCTCCACGGACTGTAAAAACTATCTCCACTGACCTGTGTCCACTGGAACTTCGTAGTCCTGGGGACATCTACCCTGGTTTAGGCTCCTGCTAAACTAGGGTCACCTAAAACACAGGAAGACCCCTAAAGTCTGTGAGTTAGGCAGATCCGTGTTCCCATTCAGCTTTCGCAGAGGAGGCTTATCCCAAAGCCAGACCCTATCCGCAGGGGCCAAGGTGGGGGCGGCCCTGCATCCGGGTCGCCCTGCCTTCCCCCTTTTGGCAGAGCGGTGTTTCGCTGAAGCCTCCCGCAATCTGAAGCAGCATGCTCACACCTTGGGAAAGGAGGCGGGTGAGGGGGGCGGGGAAGACCCATTGGGCGGGTCTTCCCCTCGGCTTCATTGCCAAGATGTGTACTAGCGCCCAGCCCACCCCTGGAAAGGGAGAAAGTGGGTACCCTATCCCGCAGTTGGGAGGAGGCCAGTCCGAGGCGCTCCGCTGGGCGGGCGCAGATAGGATCTGAACACAGAGACGCTCGGCCTTAGCTCTTTGATCCACAGCCAGCCAGGCTGGGCCCGGACCGGAGGGCGGTGCGGCTGTCTTCCGGCCCGGCTTTGTGCTGCTGCCAGGGGTCCTGTGGGGCCTCGAGCGGGAGAGGCGTCCAATACCCGGCCCTCCCCAACTACCCTCTGTCCCAATTGCTCTCAGAGGAGGCGGCAACATCCGCACTGAATCCAGCACAGAAACCAGCTGGGAGGCTGCGGTTTACTACACCGTGATGAGCGGTAGCCTAGCGTATCGTGGATGCCCGCATAGATACAGCCCCAGGTGCCATGTAGATGTTGCGGAAGCTGCAGCGCACTCCTGTACTCCGGGAACCTGAACGCTGCAGCCTGGACCTCGCAAGGGGCTGCCCGCGCCAGGATAGGGCCAAAGTCAGAGTCAAAGGGCTCCCTAAATGCTGTTTCTCAGGTTGAGTCCCGCGGCCCACGTGGCTGCCCAAAGCCCCGAGTTCCCGGACCGCAGGTTCTAGGCGTAGAACTGAGTCGGGAGTGACATAGAGAGGTGTGGCTGGAGGATCTGCAAAGAAAGCAGGGTTTTTTCCTCCTAGTCCTCGACGCTATGTTTGCACCTCAGCAGCGTCACATGATTGAGGGGCCCCCAGCAGATTTGTAGTTTTTGAGCTCTGCACGCAACAGGCGCTCAATAAATGTGCGGGGTGTATGCTTGTGTTCACTCTGTGTTGCGGACGGCCTGGAAGGAGGTCCCAGATTGGCATAGCGATGGAGGATGGGCCAGAAAATAGTGCTTTGAAGAGTCCTAATTCTGCTGGTTGCCTGGACTCTGAGCACAGCCTCAAGCCGTAGGATACCCCCAGTTCAAAGCACAGGGCACAGTGGCCTGGGCACGCAGTTCACCTAGTGGCTCCAGTTCTAAGCCACGCCCAAATCCCAAGAGTTTAGGGGGCCTGCGTTCTCCGCAGCTGGAGAGAAACCTGGGCGCTGAGCAGTAATATCTTGTGGTAAGTTTCTTCTAGATGAGTCCCGGCATTGCTCGACCGACGTCTCCCTCGGACTTCGCTCCAAGAGAGCTAGCCCTTTAAGGCTATGCCTAGTGGGCGCGTCCCGGCCGCTCCTGGGACGAGGAGGGGCGGGGACCCAGAATTGTTTGGTCCCGCCCACTGGCCAGCCCCGCCCCCGGCACTCCGCCGGCGGCGCCTTTGATGTTCGGACCCGCCAGCTCCCGGAGCCTCTCAGGCCCGCGCCCTCGCCCCGCGCCTGCAGCCCGCCCAGGCGGAATCAGCCCGCGCTCCGGGCTCGGAGGTCTGCACTCCGAGCTCGCCGCCCCCCCACACCCCGGCCGGCTTCGCGCCCCGCACTCCCGGCGCCTAGAGCTCCGGCGGCGGAGCGCACCATGCCGCAGCTGGACTCTGAAGGGGGGGGCACCGGCGGCAGCGACGACCTCGGCGCGCCTGACGAGCTGCTGGCTTTCCAGGATGAGGGCGAGGAGCAGGACGACAAGAGCCGCGACAGTGCCGCGGGCCCCGAGCGCGACCTGGCCGAGCTCAAGTCGTCGCTCGTAAACGAATCTGAGGGCGCGGCGGGCGGCGCGGGGATCCCGGGGCCCGCCGCCGGGCCCCGCGGAGAGGCGGAGGTCGGGGCCGAGGTGAGCGCCGGCCGGCCCGCGCCGCTCCTCCCCCGCGGTCGCCGAGCTCCGCAGTCCCTGGCGCCGGCTCGTGCTGACCCGCCCCCGGCGCCCGCGGCCTTCGGGGTCTCCAGCCCACAGAGCCCTCCTGTCCCCGAGCCCCCACCTTTCCCACTGCCCCTCACGGCCCCTCTGGTTCTCCCTCCAGGCTCTCGGGCGGGAGCACACTTCGCAGAGACTTTTCCCAGATAAACTTCCAGAGTCCTCGGAGGACGGTGAGTTTCCGCGCGCTAAGGCCCCTGCTTCGGTGGGAGAGAGCGGGCGGCGGGGAGCCGAGGGGTGCCTCCGCCCAATGCAGTTCAGGGAGGCGGTAGAACCCGGGGGGGTGGGGGCCTGGGGGGGCGGGTTTCTCGAGTGCTGCTAGGCTCGTGTCACTTCCGGTGCCCTGACCTTTATAGGAGTAAACAGACCCCCGCCATCTCCGCCTCCCCTCCTGCCCAGGTGACTGACTAATCCCCTGTCTTGAAGAGAAAGAGTTGGCCAAGTTTCCTTGGCTGAAGGGCAGGGTGGAGGGTCAAGTAGGGGCCGCCTAGGGGAGGCTTGGACTCCTTCCCCCAAACTTGGCACTGCGAACACTCCCAGCCCGTTCCTTCACAAGTCAGGAGCTTGAAGGGGTACCCCTCGGCAATTCTCATTTTTCTCTTTCAAGAGCGGACAGCCTTCAGCCTGGGCTGCGGCCGGGGCTGGTGTGTCTGACCCAGCTGTGGTTTTTCCAGGCCTGAAGGCCCCTGAGTGCGCCAGCGGCATGTACAAAGAGACCGTCTATTCTGCCTTCAATCTGCTCATGCACTACCCACCCCCCTCGGGAGCAGGGCAGCACCCTCAGCCGCAGCCCCCGCTGGTAAGTGGCCCATGCAGCCATTGCCCCCCTGTGCCTGCTACCTCTTAAAGCAGTTAGGTGAGGCATGAGAAGAAGAGACTTTTGCCTAAAACAAATTCGATAGATGAGAAGTCTCTGCTGGTCTTTTTTCCCATACACACCCAGTAGGATCTGAACCAAAAGGAGAACTTGGAGGAAGGGAAGAGGGTCCTCCCTTGAGCACCCCTCCGGCTTTTGGTGTTTGTCTTCCCAGCTGGCTCACAAGCAGGTGCAGGCCCTGCCCTGGTGCTGGGTGATGTTGGGAGTGGGGTCTTCTCAGAGAACTGTTTGAGCTGAGACCACCCTGACTCCTGAGGGTGGTGTGTTCAGTGTGACCTGAGCTCAGAGCTTTGCAGTTAGCTTTCTCCCCACACTGAGCCTCTAACTTGGAGGAATGGGCAGAAAAGCTAAGCTATTTAGATCTACTTGTGCAGAAAAACATGCTCTCCTTGGCTGTCTCCATTGGCATGAGCACACCCTTGCCAGAGAAGGATCCTGAAAACCATGTGTGCAAAGTGGATTCTTGATCTCAAACACCTTAAAAGGAATTGGCAGAGGTGTTACAAATCAGTGATGTCAAGAAGGGGTCAGTTTAATACATTTATGAATTAAATCTTTAGAAAAGATTTTCACAATCCTTACAAAATATGCTTTTTTGCCTATTGGTGCAGACCTAGAGTGTGAAGAAGTGCTCTGGAGAGGTATGGCTTCACTTTAAAAATTTCATATTAATGTTTCAGATTGTTCTCAGTTGGGCCGAATAAGGGTGAGGGTATAGTGGAAGGTTTGGAGGACTCTGGTGGGCAGGATTGGGTGCTAATGTAAGCCCAATACAGTTTGGGGCCAGGAGGCTGGAGGCTTGTTAGGCTAGTTGGGTGATCTTGGGATCACCCAGAGGGTGGAGAGAATGACTGCCAGGCTGTTCACAAGTGAGAACGGGGTTCTGATACCTGCTTCATGCTGAAGCTGGTGGGAGGGGAGAAGACATGCAGGCTTCTCTCCAGAAACCTGGGATGGAAAACCTAGTAGATGGCTGGCTCTAAAAATGAACTCCTTGCCTTTGGACTTCCATTTCCTCATCTCTGAAATAAGCATGTTGGCTAAATGGTCCATCTGATTTCTGCTCTAGGGTGGCTTGGTATATGAAATGGATCATTTCCTTTGAAGTCTGAGCCTGACCCTGCCACCTGATGTGGCAACTTTCCTCATAGAACTCTGCTCTGCACAAGGAGATGCTTGACAGAGATGCTTTTTGGATCCCCTACAAGGTGTAAATACCCTTAGATTTGGGACCAGTTTGGAGTAACTCACCATCACCCTATCCAAGCAACTTACCCATTGGATAGGGGCTGGGGTAACTATGCTTAGACAAAATGTCTAGGCTCACAGCTTGGTGCTCCAGCCTGCCAGAACTCTACAGCAGCACAGAGAAAAGGCATCATTTCAGACAGGGTTCATCTCATGGTGTGGGCAAATGATGGGAAAGTGCCCAGAGCAGGGAGGGCCTTGTTCTTCTGTAACGGTGCGGGTAATGGGACCATTTGGTGGAACATTAGTCAAGAGGAGGCAAATGGTGGACTCTAACAGTCAGAATGGTTGGAGAAAGACACACCACTAGCACCTGGCCCAGATCATTTAGTTTTCAACTTTGGGTCTTTCTCAGGCTATAGCAGATGCATTTCGTTTTTGTTAGAGACAGAGTTTTACTCTGTTGCCCAGGATAGAATATAGTGACATGATTATAGCTCATTGCAGCCTCAAACTCCTAGGCTCAAGAGGTCTTTCGCTCTCTACCTCCTGAGTACCTGGGATGATAGGCACATACCATCATGCCTGGCTATTTCTTTTTTTAATTTTTGACAGAGATAGGGTCTCACTGTGTTGCCTAGGCTGGTCTCAAACACCTACCCTTAAGCAGTCCTCCCACGTCAGCCTTACAAAGTGTTGCAATTGTGTGAGCCACTGTGCCCAGCCCAGCACATGCATTTCTGCGTATTACATCCTCTCCTATAAGTGTACGTTCCCTTGCTACCCTTGCAGGATCACAGCTGCAGTTTCCCCTGTGTGGCTTCTGGGAACACAGGAAGAGGACAGGCTTTGCCACTGACTTTCTATGCCCTGGCCTCAGTTGCTGTGTGGGGCTGGAGACAAGAACAGAGAGGCAGGAGCCTAAGTTGGAGTGACACTGGGTGAGGAAGATATATGTAGCTGTAAAGGAGCCTCTGTTAAGCATACCTGATAGTTACAAACACATAACAAGTGGCAGTAGTTGCTTGCATTATTCCAAGGGTTGTGTGGACATTCAAAATTTGGTTGGGAGCCTGGTGCCGTCGCTCAAGCCTATAATCCTAACATTTAGGAGGCCAAAGTGGGTGGATTGCTTGACCTCAGGAGTTCGAGACCAGCCTGAGCAAGAGCAGGGCCATGTCTCTAGTAAAAATAGAAAAATTAGCTGGGCATTGTGGCAGGAGCCTGTAGTCATAGCTACTTGGGAGGCTGAAACAAGCCGATCCCTTGAGCCAAGAATTTGAGGTTGCTGTGAGCCATGACACTGTAACACTCTAGCCTGGGGCAACAAAGTAAGACTATGTGTCAAAAAAAAAGATATGGTTAGTGGTTTTTTTAATTTTTTTTTTTTTTTTTTTGAGACAGAGTCTCACTTTATCGCCCTTGGTAGATATGGTTAGTTTTTTACAAAACAAAGTGAACTGACCCTATGTTTTGGTAGCACATTTATTATCTAATTCAAGGGTCATGTGTCTAGATTCTTGGCCAAGTACAGGTGGCCCACACCTGTCAGAGCACTCTGAGAGGCCGAGGTGGGAGGATGGCTTGAGTTCAGGAGTTTGAGAACAGCCTGAACAAGAGCTAGACCCCATCTCTTAAAAAAAAAAAAAAATCCAACAGAGCCTTTTATTAAGGACTGGGAGCTCCTTGCAAGGGCCCTGAGGAGAAACTGCCTTTGTAAGTTTTCTACTCTTTTTTTTTTTTTGCAGTTTTTGGCTGGGGCTGGGTTTTGAACCTGCCACCTCCAGCATACGGGGCTAGCGCCCTACTCCTTTGAGCCACAGGCGCTGCCCCTCGAAGTTTTCTAATGCTAGTCCCTTTCCCAAGCCTATATTTTATAGGACAGCATGCTTCCCAGCCCTGTCTTAGGACATCCAAAGGGTCAGCAATTGTGCTGAGATGCCCAAGGTCAGTCACTGGACATCTCTAGAAGGGAATCTCACACTTGTGACTTCTCACATGAGGTGGGATGCCTGTGTGGTTGCCCCATTGGAAGACCTCAAAACAGGGAGACTCAAACCTGGTAAGGACCGATGAGATAAATGATCAATTCATAGTCAACTGCCTTGGGATAGAAATTTTTCTGCAAAAACGATTGTTTCTTTTTGGTATTTGGCTTCTGTAAGTTTTGTTTGAGGAAGGGGAAATTAGGTCAAAGTTTATTCTATGACCAGCGTTTATCAGGCATCTAATGCAGCCAGTTACTGCCCTAGATGAGTGACCATTATTTATTGTTGTTTTTTGTTTTCTGCTTTGAGACTTTGGACAAGTTCGGGTAGAGAGGGGTGTAGTGAGCTGGTCCTTGGTTGGATCTAGGGGGGATTCTGGGATGAGTAAAGCTTCATCCCTTAGACAAAATTAGGCTCTTGGGTGTATAAGACTATCAGTCTGGTTATATGAGACATCATGTCCTGAGGCCCCTTCCATGGGCTGCATTTAGAGTCTGTGGCCTTGGTGGATGCTGAACCTTTGCCATTTTGATGAAATATCCAGAACAGACAAATACATACAGATTGAAAGTAGGTTAGTGCTTGTCAGAGCCTGAGTGAAGAGGGGCATGGGGTTTCCTTTGGGGGTGATGGATATGTTCTGGAATTTAGGTAGTGGTAGCAGTTGTACAACCTTATGAATATATTAGAAGCCACTGCACTGTATACTTTAGTGTATTTTATAATATGTGAATTACATGTCAATTTAAATTAAAAAGCGGAGGCTTTTGGCTGTTGCAGGTCTGCGGGGCCGAGTTTCCCTCTCTCTGATCTCTACAGTTGTCGTGGTACCTGGGCATGCCGCACACCACTGGGCAGCCTATGTGAGGCAGTAGTTTCGTGCTTGGGCTCCTGGCCATCAGGCTCACCTGGCCTTAGTCCACAGGTTGAGGTCCAGGTGAGGGCTGTGTGAATGAGCCCTGGGGGAGCATGAGATGAAGGTATGAGCAAGATGAGCAGAGGAAGGAAGTGCTGCAGACGCATGGCCAGCCTGTGTAGGGAGTTTGCAGAGGTGAGCATATGCAGGAGCACCCACCCAGCCCTCCACAGCCCCCACAGAGAGTGAACTGAACCTTGCTGGGAAGGGTTAGTGATGATTGAGCACCAACCCTTGTTGGAGTAAGACCTACTAGAAAGGAGTCAGGCCCCAGGCTCTGCCTCTAGGAGTGCCCAGTTGCACAGAGAAGACAGATAAAAAGACTAGAACCAGGCACTGACCAGAGAAGTGCTGTCACAGAAGGCATCCTGAGCAGAGCAGGCCTATCTGGGCTGTGAGGAAGGGTTCCCTGAGCAGCATTCTGAAGACTGCATGAAGACCCAGGAGGGACTGGTGGGCACCTGTAATCCCAGCTACTCAGGAGGCTGAGGCAGGAGGATCACTTGAACCCAGGAGTTTGAGGCAGCAGTGAGCTATGATGATGACACTGTATTCCAGCCTGGGCAACAGAGTAAGACCCTGTCTCAAAACAAGCAAAAACAAATCAGAGCACATCTCTCACCTGATTAAACCTTGCAGTGGCGTCTCATTGCTTTTGGAGTAAAGCCCAAACCACTCACCACCGCATGAGTATCTGGTGGCTGGCCACTACCAGCTATATCATCCTCTTCCTCTAACAGTAGCCACTTCATTGCCCTGGTGCAGAGAGGGGCGGTCTTACAACCAGCAAGTTCTCTGACACCTCAGGACTTAGGCACTTGTCCCTCAGA